AGTGACATCTAAAGAATGGTATTACTCTGGGGAAACTGGCATGGCACGCCAGAGACTGAAAGGATACATGCACCATGCAATGCATACTTGTTCATTCATCCCTTGACTTGGTATTCTGTAAAACTCTACATGCTGTGTTTGTAAGTATACTCAATCTAAAGCAGATCGGTAGAAAAAGGTCTATTTCAAATAGTAGTGCTTGAATGCGCCAGTGCGCTTACACCACTTTGCTTACAATAATCTTTGTAATGGTCTCTGTACTGAAGCTCAGCAATCGTCTCCCCATAATGCAGATGGAGGACTGAGAGACAGTGCCTCCTCTAAGGTGTTACTGCAACAGTGCAATCCTAAGAACACTTTCCTTGGGGTAAGCCCCTTTGAATAGACTGGAGCAGGATTCTGAGCAGACCTGATTAGGATTGCTGTTTTAGCATGCTCCTTGTGACTGAGGTGACATTAAACCAGACATCTTCCAGGTCATACTCAGCCAGACTTCACTGCATCAAAAGAACCTGGGACAGCCCGGGCAAGCCTGATCTCATGAGAACTCAGAAGTGAAGCAGGGCCGACTCTGACAACTATTTGGATGGGAGACCTACAGAGAATATCAGGGCCGGGAGGCCAGAGGCAAGCTATCAAGCCACTTTTCTGAAAGTCCTCCGTGCCCCAGTGGGAGTTGCCAGAGGTCGCCATGACTTTCAGGCATGGGCGTGCACACGCACACACAAATGCAAAAATACACACAAAAAATCCATCATGCAGGGATTAAACTCGATGAAATCACTTGGTTTTCTTCTACATGTTTTCTTCTATCCTGCCTATTCTAGCCATTTCTGTTTCTGTTCAGCCTGTAAAACATTTTTAGGGGCCATTGAGTTGCCCTGTAACACTTTATTGTGGGTAGTTTTATTATGAATGTGGAGGACTGCATTCTGGAGAGAGCTAAGGACACAGATTCTGCTGAGATAAATGGACCTTAGTTAAGCACACACACCCTCTAATCTGGGAGAGCCAGGTTTGATTCCCCACTCCTCCACTTGCACCTGGCTGGATGACCTTGGGCAAGCCATAGTTCTGGCACAGCTGTTCTTGAAAAAGAGCAGTTTCTGTCAAGAGTTCTCTCAGCCCCACCTACCTCACAGGGTGTCCGTTGTGGGGAAGGGAAGGGAAAGGAAAGGAGTTTGTAAGCCGTTCTGAGACACCTTTGGGTAGTGAAGGGCGGGGTATAAATCCAATCTCTTCTTCTTCTTCAATGGAACTTAAAGCTCCCCTAACTTTATCTGGCTTGCAGCTGTGGTGACCTGTGCTTATAGTATTTAGGATGCATTTTTATGACTAGGTTCATCTGTGTTTATAAATCTGCACAGTGTGATAGCTAATACTGCATATATTACAAATATGTAATATGTATATTATGGGTGCTTTTCCCTTCCCACAAGCCTACTAGACATTCAGCAGTGTTTTAATATAAACCACATTGCATCTTCATGTTGACCAAAATGACTGATTCCTCCCAGACTTTTCTGCTGTGTCATAGTAGGCTTAGCTCCCTTCCAGAAGGCATGTCCTAGAAATGTCATTGCTACAGCCCTACATAGAAGGCTGCTGAAATCCCATTGATAGAACAGCCTGAAGCTGCATAGGATTGGGCCACAGGAGACTTCATCAATTCTTTGCCAGCCCTCAAAATCAAAACATTTTTAAAGCTGAACACTCTGTTCTGCCATAGAGATTCCACAAATATTCCAGTCCATAGTGACTGACCTTGAAATCACAGGATCTTTGACTCTTTCTTCCCTTTCAGAAACTGCACGACTTTAAACTATTTCTATTTCAGGAAGTAGGCTAGTATGTTGAAAAATAGCCCTGTGTGGTAACGTCCACGTGCGTCATACAAGATATCTGTGCTCTTTTACTAGTATTCCACTAAACCATAGATCTTTATAGAAGATTTTAGTTTCTTTCCTAGTTCTTCGGAGGGGGGGATTTTATAGAGCGGTTTGTCCTTATTAATCCTCCTGAATGAGATAGGTAAAGGTGTAACAGGAAAGTCCAACAGAGGGCGCTGTGTGATTTAGTTTTGCTGAAAGGAAACTTCTTTTAAAAGAAGGAAAGTAGATGCAGAGGATATAGGTTGTTTAAAATAAATTCATTCTCCGCCCCACAGACTAGCACAGAAAGCTCTTGAAACGACACTCAAAACAACGTGTATTAAATTATTATCAAATTATCCACCGCTTGAAAATCATGGATGGGCTTAGTCTGACCAAGCTTTAATTTTCGCTTAGGTGGGTTTGGAGGAGAGAAAAGATGTTTGAAAAGATCTTGATAGAAGGGGACGGGAAAACAATTCAGTTTTGTTTTGTCTGTCCTGGAGGGGAAAGAATTACTTGGACAAATGGACTCTGGCTTAGTTTATAGTGTATTCATTTATGTTCATGTACCTAAAAGAAAGCAGGCAGGCCGGCAGGCGAAGGAGCTGCCAATATTCTCGTCATTTAGATCTTTCCCACCAGTGTATGGGATTCAGATTTTACCTTTTTAAAAATTTTATCTGTTGGAAACATTTTCCACGAGAAGACCCTGTATAAAACTTCACTTTTCCCCTCTTCAGCTCCTTCATCTGGATCGTTTCCCCTCGGATCTGAAGGCGTCCGAGATAAGCCAAGAGACGCCCCTTATTCTAGGGAAGGTGGAGAACGAGGTCAGTCAAGTTCAGGACGGATTTCCCTCCCAACATCGCCACGATCCATGTGACCGTCCTCCTCTTCACTTTGCTATTTAAAAATAAAATGAAATCATCTGGGTTGGGCATTTCGTTTCCGGAAAGCCAGCAACTGGG